TCATGGACATTTAGACTGCGCATTGTGTCGATGGAGCAGTTGGAAAGGTAGGGAAAAACAATGAAAGTTGCATTTGTCCTACAACATGTCCATCCCAGTCACCTCAGTGATTCACCCCTCTCACTGATAATGATGTGTCAAAACTTCTTCCTACTACATACAATTCCATGTAATCCATGCATTTTTACTTTGTTTGGGCCTTGTTGGCACAGCAGTCAGCACCTCAGTCTCATAATCTGAAGGTGGAGAGCTTGAGCTTCACATGGGGGATGTGTCTTCTTGTATGGACAGTTTTCTTTGGAATTATGTTTAGTCATTTTTACTGCACTGTGTAGCCGGAGCAGTTGGAAATATGTAGTCATCTGTACTACCCTCATTAAGGTAGAGAAAGTTAGTGGACATCCAATACTTAATACAATCAAAGTAGTCTCAAGGAAACTACAAGAATCATTTGAGTTGAAAGGAAGGTGTATTTGTCAGGTCTCTCTGACAAATACACATCGCTGTGTTACAGAGTGCCATCAGTTGTCACTTGGTTTAAACAATTGGGCCATGGCTGCACGCTGGGATTTGGGATTATTGTACTTTTTGATAGCAAAATATATACATATATACACTGGGTGTATGTATGTCTTCACTGTTAGTTTCTAGAGCAGGGCCCGGTGCGCCCCAATAGCCCCGAAGCAATTTGAAGGAGAATGTAGTTGTGATTGTGTTGCTGTTTGGTAGAGTATGTTAAAATCATACAATCCTTACTTGACAAGGCATAAAATCTTCAGTTATACAGAAACTTAAAAGGTAGCTGCATTGGCCGGGAATCGAACCCGGGCCTCCCGCGTGGCAGGCGAGAATTCTACCACTGAACCACCAATGCTTACATACAAATAGTTTCACGGTTGTGGAGACCACGCCCACTAAAAGGACCTCTACATTCTGCCTCAACTGTTTGGCTCATGTCAGATGCCTTCAAAAACATCCTTACCAAACTTTGTTCAATCAGCCAATGGCCAGATGTGCAGTGGTAAGAAAGGAGGCAGGGACAAGGCATCAAACTTCCTCATTATGTAAGGAAATATAAAAATTTTAAAAAGTGTCTGTGCACTCTGTGTACACACGAAAAAAATTAATGTGTGAGCATTGGGGTTCAATTCCCGGCCAAAGCAACTCGCAATATTTTTATGGTTTTGTTGGAAAAACCCATTCTGTCCATATGACTTGTTACCAAAAAATTGTATAACAAAAATACAATTTCATCCTTTTTTGAAATGCTTCATTTTTTCCTTGCGGTTGTCTTAATGGTTCCCAAATTAACCACAGGCTATGTCAAGGTCTGGGATACATTCGATGACAGTCACAAGTCGTGGTGGACCTGCTGCTGCACCGTACCTGTTGCCATTGCACGTGTTATTGTTTACTGCGCCTTTCTTCTTCTCTTAAAGTTTGATGTCAGACAAGGACAGGTGTAGGATTATTATAGTGCACTTGTCAGACCTGAAAAATCACATCTCCAGTATCCATGACATCTATGGTACTGTTGAAAAACAAGTACAATCACATAGTCAGAATTTTGTACCTGCATTGACTTTGTACCAGAGTATCAGCTCTCGTGACATCCCTACTTCAGTGACACATATTGTCCGCAAATTTGTCTTTTTTTAAGCAGTTGGTCCATATTTTTGTGTGGAGGATAACTCGTCAGTTGTGTTCACGTTACATGGAAAGATCTTACTCATCCATTTCCTCTGCATTGTGAGCCTCAATTCAATTCAATTTGTATAGCAACAAATCATAATAGACATTATCTCACAGCACTTTACAGGGTAAGGTTGAGACGGACAGAGAAGGACACCTTTTGTGTTCATGTTACATAAATTTTTGTGTTCATGTTACAGCAACAGATGTTATCGATTTTTCCCATCTATTCACACTGCATTGTAGGCCTCGTTGGCACAGTAGGCAGCGCGTCAGTCTCATAATCTGAAGGTCGTGAGTTTGAGCCTCACACGGGGCATGAGTTTTGTGACATGTACAGGTTTGTTGGAAGTAATTTACACTACACTGGGCTCTGTGTTGGGTACTAAAGGTTCATAACTGGAGCCACAAACCACCAGGAAACAAGGCTTGCATCAGTTAATAGGTTTATTTACAGATATGTTGATTTCTGGATGCTTGCCGTGTTCTAAGTAACAAAGGGAATAAAAACATTAATACAGTGTTTTACTAACACACTGTATTTAACTTTCATGTTTGTCATGCTGGAAGTAGCCATTGGCCATTAGAAGATGAGTAAATGGACAAAAGGCTGTCAGTGTTTCTCCACTTTGACAAATCACACTATTAATGTGGGTCTTCAATGTCATATGTATTTCTATTATAAGGTTTCCATAATAAGGACTCTGTTTATGCTCATGTGGTAGATGTTGCTAAGAGAGAGTAAATAATGTCACAACAGAGACACGAAACAGATTGTGAGATATTTCTGCAGTAATAATTTTAATTCTGGAAAGTGTCTGTGCTATTTTCTGTGAAGGGGAAACATTTAAAGAATTTACCCCTGTGTTATAGCCACCCACATCAACAAAGCCAATAAACTGGTAACCAGGCTTTTCTAAAGTCTCTACCACTATGCCCAGAAAAGAGGGCACCATCCTGGGCAGGTGAACAACTGGGTAGAATCACAGCCATACCACCACCACCACCTTAACTCTGCCTTTTACAAGTGGAGACAGAAGAGTTTTCTGTGGCCACAGTGGACAGAAAGCCGAAATGATGTCTGAAAAATAATGCAACACTGTCTGAAACGGAAAGGATGCAAATGACATTATGCATGGGCAATTTATAGATTATTTTAAATGTAAGTTCAGGTTATTAGGTTTCATTTTGGACTATAATGCACTCTGAGATCATTTGTACTACTATGCATTATTGAGAAAAAAATGAAAATGAAATTTAAATGATTTAACTGTAAATAGAAAAGGTATCTCTTCTGATAGAGGAGACCGTTAACAGCTTGTTTCCTCTGCTCCCAAGTGACAAAAAAATGTATCGCAAGTTTAAAGGATAGACTCACATTTTTCAGGTGGCCACATGTACATTAAATGAACATGAACATGGTGGGCAAAATCCACAGTCTTCTGTGTAGAAATCAATTATCCATCTGTTTTGTTTTTCTTTCAGTGTGGACCATTTTTAGCTGCAGACATTTGCTATGAGTGAAATGGCACCATACAGTCTGTGCACTACAACCTTCAAATATGACTTCTACAGATCTGTCATCATGGAACATCCAGGGAACATTCAGGATGCTAGAGGCGGAGACTAACAACAAATTACAATGGATGTGAGAAGTAGTTGTTTTCTTTCATTTATTTATTACTTTATTTTATTTTATTTTGAAACAAATGGAGTATTGCATTGTAGGATCACATGCTAACTACTGAATCCATATTTGTTTACATCTAAAGTATACATTTATGTCCCAATCTTAAACATTTTTAACATTTAAAAGTAAAGAAATAATCCAAATTGAATAACATCTTGAAACTGACATGCAGTGATTGCTGAATAGACAGCTGCAATGCCACATTAACACACAATGTAAAAGATGTTGTATTACTTTATCATTTGTCAGCATCATTATTATTTATTACATTTTATTGTCAGCTGTTGTCCGCGTTTTTGTTGGTTATTTACTTTATTTGATGTACAATTAAATCACTATTGAGCAAGAGGAAAATTTCCTGTGATTATGAGCTTTTTCACATTTTAATTAATTTTGAATTTAAATAGAGGCTGATATAACCCCCTTGCATTGATCTGAGGTAAACACTGTCTGAACTGCTTATCAGTAGATGCCAAGGCTATCCAGGAACAGTCTTGACGTTCAAGTTGGACGTTTACAGAAAGCATGACTTAGATTTCTCTGTTTACTTTCTGTGGTTTCAAACTTACGTAAGCTTTGGAGTCAGACCTCAGAGTGGAACTTTCCCATAGCTCACCCTCCCCTACAGGTGCATGTGATGAGTTTATGAATAGCTGTGATGTTGACATGTTGGAAGTGCTCTGACAGGTGTGTCATAACTCTGACACTGATTCCCGTCACTCCAGCAGCACATCAGTCATACCTGCGGTCCTGCTGTTGCTTTTAGGGTTAATATGAGAATCTGTCGCCAGAAGGCAGGCACAAAAACAAACAGGTAGATCAAAATCAGGGTGGTTATTGCTGTGTGTGATCTATATAGGGGATTTGTACAGTAATTTGTATAGAGCCTTTTGCCTCTGGCTGAATTTGACAGAACAGGCAAAACAAAGACAAAAATCCTACATGAGGAGGTGGAGCAACTTTGTGTCAGGACTTGTTTTGCATGACATGTTGTCAACAATGATTGGCTTGTTAACCTGTACATCAAAGGTCATTTAAATACAGAAAATAAGTGCTGAAAGTTTTGTAAAAATGCAGTATACTGTATGTATAATTTGTCATGTCAACCAATAACTAGGAAATAAACGAGTAAAATACCTATGCTTAGAGCAGATTGAAGGACACACATCGATACTGTTTAGCCTATAGCCTACAGCTTACATACAGTATAGTAGCACTTTCCAAACAGTGGGGAAGGAGAAAAAATAAACACAACCCAGAGCCCCATGGTGCCTTAAAGTTCTTAGTAAATACTGTAAAACGGATATTCTGAATATTGACATTTTGTTCCTGTGAAGTACTTTGGAAAAAGCCCAATTTTGTAATATTACAATTACTTAAATAAAATGTTTAGCTGAGAAAAACGATTGGTATGTGAAAAAATCGACCTTTGTAAGAGAAAAGTCATGCCATACATAAATACCTAGAGTATGTAAATTCCGATTTAACATTTGAGTTTGAACGTTACTCCAGGCTGACAAAATGGGCAGGGACGTGCATGCGCAGTCGATGTGTTTGCATTCCTCCTCCCTCCTCTGAGACTGACAGCCCGTTAGCTGCTGCTGCTGCTCACCGGCAATGATACAGCAAACACGGACTCGGTAAGACGTCTCGGGATGGACTTAGCGAGCACTTTGTAGCACTGCAAAGACGGATATAATTCAGACACCATTGCATATTGACAACAGAGGAAGTTTATTCATCGCCGGACTCATTTCTGTTTCGGGAAAAAGGAGACTCGACGTCCGGGAGAGGAATGGATGCAACGACTGCTTTCCTGCGACATTCACCGGCCAGCTAGGAAGCTTCCAGATTCACTTTGAAGACCACCTGAGTGCACCTAAACTTGTCAGGGCTAGACTTATTTATTTGTGCTTAATAGTGAACACTGCTTTCCGCAAAATAATCGTAATTAGTAGTGCAAAGGTACACCAAGAGTGTGGCTAATCGCCTCTGGCGACCCAACACAGCTTTAAGGCTAACGGCTAGCGAAATTTCGCATTCTTTGTTTATTTTATTTGCTTCATTGAATACAGTGGGTTTTATCTTTCTGAAGTTGTATTAATACTTGTGTTAAGAAAAGGGACACTGCTCATAAGCTAGCGTATCTGCCTAACTACAGATCGTAACATTTAGCTTGATTTTAAAGGACATAAATCATCTGACTTCTCACTTATGGCTCGTTAGTATCGCGGTACTGAGCTGACCCAGCTAGCTAGCATCTGTGTTAGCTAGTAGGTAGCGCAAACAGCCGTCAGCCACCTCTTGGCCTTCATTAACACCTCGACTGTAGAGATGCACCACCAGGACTTTCCTGGAGACCCGCCTGGGACCGGGAGCAGGAAAACGGCTTTCCACTACAGGAGGGGCAGCAGCGGTGCGTCTGCCTCCTCGGTAGCCGGTGGCAGTGGAGTCAACACGGTTGACGACAATCCAACCCAGGCTGGATCATCTTCTCCCGGACTCCATCACCAGCCTCAGTCCCAAGTGGCTGGTGCTCAGGTGAAGAAGAAGAGTGGCTTCCAAATAACAAGTGTCACCTCAGCTCAGATCAATGTGAGCGGCAACAACAGTTTAGCAGATGACACTGAGAGCTATGATGACATGGATGAGTCACACACTGAAGATCTCTCCTCTTCTGATATGCTGGATGTTTCTGTGTCCAGGGCCACAGATACAGGTGTGCCTGACAGAAGCTCCTCTGATGAGACGTTGAACAGTCTCCATGGGGTCGACACACCCGGACTTGTGTCGCCCAACGAGCCTCTTCACCCTCATTCCATACCTCAAGGGGCTCAGCAACACACTTCTATGGTAAATGGGACCATGCATCATCATTATTATCCTCAGCAACAAAGCCAGCCCCACCATCATCACTCTGATAGCTTGGGAGGAGGTGAACCCCCATTGCCAGCTCTTCCCATTGCTCCCGTGGCTAGTTCCAGTCCAGCTATGGCTTCCAAAGCTGGGCCTAGCCAGTTCCAGAGGCCCCCAGTGTTGGATAACACTAAACCTGCAGGCGGGACAACCCAACCGATAGCCGCTATTGTTGGTGAGACAGCCACTGATCCACATCTACAGGCCAGTGGGAATATTTCTAATGTGACTGCTGTCACTGCTGCTGCAGTTCCTCCTTCTGGATCTGCAGGTTTTGAAAACACCAGTGTGAGTGGGCAAGTAGTTTCTGTGGGAGGAGTAACAGGCCCATCTGCTGCTGCCCCCAATACGCAAACCCAGCACACCCAAACCCAGACAGCTACTGGCTCTCGTTTTAGGGTGGTCAAACTAGACACCAACTCTGAGCCCTTCCGCAAAGGAAGATGGACATGTACAGAGTATTATGAAAAGGAGGTATCTCATCCAGCTGTGTCTGAGGCACCAAAAGGTGCAGAGTTGGCTGTAGAGAGTGAGACAAGTAATGCTGGGATTAGTCCAGGTATACCTGCTGTACAGCCACTGCACACACTGCAACCCTATCAGACACCAAACCAGGATTTCACTAGTCCACAAGCCATGCAGAGCCCGCCACAAGGACTGGCCCAGACCACTCCTCTGACCTATGTTGCACCCCCAGAGGTCATTAGTGGAGTTCACATGTCAAAACCAGTGGCCTCTGTCACTCTCCCAACAGCAACACCACAGGTTACACCACAGGCCGGTGTAGGTCAACCTCAACTCGTAATACCCCAGCAGCTGCCCTATGCTGTGGATCCCCACCAGGCTCAAACCCAGGGAGGTTACCCTGCACCTCAGCTCCAAGCAGGGGTCATGACCCAAGGAACTGTCCGTCAGCCAGACTTCATCCAGCCCACTGCTCCCTTCCAGACTCAGGTCCAACCTCCACTGCCACATGTTACAACAGGAATCTCCATAACACAGCCACTGGTCAGCATTACTCAGCAGCTGCCCCACCAAGGTCATGTAGCCCCACCTGCCCCAGCAACTTTTGCTGCAGGACAGCCACAGACTCTTCCATCTCAACTCCAGCCTCACCCACAGTCACATGTCCAGCCCCCCTCTACTGCCACAGTCCCAGTAGCACCCACCCATGGGACCCCCTACATGCCTCTGACTGCACTGCAAGCTGACCTCCAGCCCCTCCTCACCCCAGGCACAACCCTCACCCAGGTCCCTGGAGGAGGAAGCTCCACAAGAACCTCCCAGCTGGAGGACGCCCAGAAGCTTCTGCTCCAGCACCAAGGCCTGCTGGGTCTGCCCAGGCTGGGGGTGGCAGCAGGTGGAGAGGGGGCTGCGGAGGCAAGTGGCGCTGCTGGAACACTGGCCCATATGGGGATGTCAGCTGAGGCCAGTGCTTTCATGGCAGCTGCTGCTGCAGGCCTTAGGACTCAGCATGCTGAAGGAGAAGAGGACAGGTGAGGATGGGCAGCCAGTGCTGCCAAAGCTGTTTATTTTAATGTAAACTATGTTTTACAGATTAAGGTTTTTAAGCAAACAAGAAGTGGAAGTAACTGTTCTTGGTTCATTGTAGTTCAGGCTGCAGTACACACTTTCTTTTGCAGTAATATTGAAACATACTGATTTTTAATGAAAAAATGCTTTGCAATACATTTATGTTTGTCTCATCACATCTCTGAAACAGCCAAGCTTCTTCTTATCATCTGGCTGAGGATTTCACATTTGTTTGATCCTCTGTCATGTGATGTCACTCTGTTAGCGCTCTGAAGAGAGCAGCAGAAAAGCAGTGCACTGGACATTGCCATTGCAAAAATATCAGTGGCTGGAATAGAAACAGTGGAGCTGCTGAGTCATTGAGGGAGCTGGTGACTCAGCAGATGCACTGACCTGGTTGACCCCCTACCATCACACATCCACCTCCATTAGCTCAGGACTCTTTGTGTCAGTAAGGCTACATTTTCCCTGTTGTAGTACCTTACGCTATCCTTCCTAACTCATTCAGTCTTTGCATCCCCTTTTCCCCTTCTCCCCTTAGGTTTAGTCTTTTATTAGACACTGGATCTGTTGATTTGTACCACCCAGAGGGAACTGCAGAATGTTTTTTTTATGTGTGCAATTACTCAACCTTATGCCTTATGCCTAACCCTCTGTCTGAATAGAGTCGATGCCCTGGAAAAAAACCTATTTGAAGATGAAATGTAAATGTTCAGAGTTTGTGCTGTAGAGACGGGGCCTGATCAGGAGTTGTGTTGCAAAAATGTGATAAACTCTGGCTGCAGAGAAATTGAGTACTGTTGTGGCAGCAGTGTAGTGTTACCACTGTACTGTCCTGTGTTCGTGTTAAGCAGGAGATTCATGTTGTGAGTACAACAACTATGCCTGCAGGGCATCGAGGGGGTTCGGCTGAGTATGGTCAGCCTCACCCAAGAACCCATCACTAAAATACAAAACATATTCTTGGATATTGTGGCTTTATTTAACTGTTAACAACAAATGCAGACTGTCTAAAAGATTTTGTCTCAAATAATGTACAAATACATGCTATACATCAGAACTGAAATGGAGAAAAAGAGCAGTTGAGTAGCTGGAGAGCGAACAAGTAAACATACTTCCAATTCAATTATCAGCACAGCAGGTTGTTGGTGAACTAAAGCTAACCATTTATGTGATTTCAGTTGTTAAGTTTGTGTCTGAGTTCAAGGAGTGGAGAGACAGAGGGTGCAATAATCGTTGGCTCAATGTTGGCGTAGTTTTAGTCGTACTCGGCTGCAGACAGAGCTTGGCTGTATTTTATGTGGAGGCTTTTGTCAGAAATTTGTGGCTCCCCATCATGACCGTGTGTGTGTTTTGCATGGCATCTGCATTCCTTCCTCTGTAAGTGTGTTTCTGTCTATCCGTCCGTTTGCCAGCCCGTTTTCTTGTCGTGAATCGGCCAGTGTCCTGCAGCCGCAGACAGTCTTGGTGTGTTTGTCTGCTTTGTTTATAGTCATGGTCATGTCATGCTGCTATGTGGTTCTGTGTTTCTGTTACTGTCACTGTTTTCTTTCTGTCTTGTATTCTGTTTATCTCCTTTTGTCACCCTCTCTCTCTCTCTCTGTCTTTCTATCTCCCCTCCTCTTGCAGGCCTCAGTGCATCATGTCAGTTGTCCAAACTATTCTCCTCTTTTCTCTTAGACACTAGTCTACTCTTCTCCTTCCACTCTTAAAATATCCCTCTCCTTTCCCTGCGTACACACAGTGTTTCCTCTAAGCTAATAGTGCCCAGTCACATGCAATGGAGAAGTCTACAGGTTTTTCCCCTAATCATTTCCACCCGTATTTTCTAATGAGAGTGAGCCAGAGCAGAGTGAATTGAGCACAGTGTATATGAACAGACCTGTAACAGTAGTGACAGTTTGCCCACAGTAAAGAAAGCCACCGGAGAAGGACCAGAGTGACACCAGAGTGATAAATGAACACAGACTTGTTTAGCATTGAAGCAAAGTGTTTTGTTTACAGCACAATAGTTTGGTTGGGGCTGCCGCTAATGATTTTTTACGTTGTTATGTCAATATTTTGTCTGACCGCTGTCCAAAACTCAAAGATATCCAGTTTACAGTGATACAAAATAGAGAGACAGAGAATATGAGACACTGGAGAAACTGACACCGGAGAATTTTCGGGATTTTATTTTTGAAAAATGACTTGAACAATTAATCAACTATCAAAACATTTGCAGATTAATTCTTAATCGATTGTTTACAACTCTGATAGGAAGACAGTGTCTGGGCTCAAAATGTTTGTGACATATTGCTCTTTTTTCTGTTGGAATGTCACTGGAACAACAACAACTAGTTGTCCAGGATGACTGCTGTACATAGAGCACAAATCAGTCGTATTCACACTGATGCAGTATTAACTGCCTGTTGGCAGCATCAAGTTTGGCTCTTTTAAAGCTGTCATGAAAATGCTTAATCTAGTACAGTTGTGTGCATGATATGTTATAAAGCACTGACGTGAGGGTGTGTCTATGTTTTGCAGGATCCTGCTTGTTTCTTTTCACCTGCTTGCTGTCGGTTTCTATAAGCGTCAGTGCGAGTACTCTGAGGACAGTGATATTAATCAGTGCTTTCATCGGGTCCTCGTGCTTCCACGGGTGAAATTTCAGCCTGCAGGTCGCTGCCGGTATAATTTGACTTTTGGATAGCTGCCAGTATCTGTCCACAGTGTGTGTGTGTGTGTGTGTGTGTGTGTGTGTGTGTGTGTGTGTGTGTGTGTGTGTCTCATATCATATCCACACACCTTTCTCTGTTTCAAGCACCAACAACATCCAGAGAAATATAACTTTGCACACAGGAGATTTCATATGCCTTTTCTTAATGCTATTTGTGGCCTTATAAACAACGTTAAGCAAATCATTTTTATTAGCCATGAAACAGTTTCACCAGGTAAGCAAAAATTCTGCCTCTGAAAGTTGGTTTGATGTAGAAATAGTGTGTAATATTGTCGCAGAGCAACACAGGAGAAACTGCAGAGCATATGCTGATTTGAGCGCAGTCAGTCTTCTAGTACAGCCTGATGTTGGCAATGAGCCTAAACCAAAATTATACCTTACAAATACTTATGTGTGCATGAGTATATTGAACACTGGGGTTCATTTTTTTTAATTTTAGAATAATTACCACGAAAACGGGAATCTAAAAATGAAATGAAAGCATGTAAATGTGTGAATCATGTGCTGATTTGTTGAAAAAAAAACACACAGAGATAATATGCATTTCACAGCCAAGAAAATGTCAAAGACATATGAGGTGTCATAGTTCATTTTGTGCATTTTATAGGGCTGTTAATCCGTATGATCTCATCTTTTGGAGCCATGAAAGTTAGATGTGCAACCTAGTGATTATTGTCCCTTAAAATTTACTTGACAGCTTTATATAAACAACATTCTTTTGTTTGAAGTTTTTTTTGTATTTTACTACCATTTTAATGAAGCAAACATGTTCAGCAGCAGTTGAGGTAATGTGAGTTCAAACATAACTGAGCAGTTATGAGTTTACAGCTTGAATACAGAGTGATAATCATCAGTCAATCAAGGCCGCCTTTTCAGCAATCAACAGGTCTGCCAAAGGTAGATGTGAGAGTGAACACTCCTTTTGGCTAAGCTTTGTTAGAGAGATTTACTGTTTTGACATAGTGACAGTCAGCTGTGTGGTTTATTTTTATCTAGCAACGCAGGCTCATATTCTGATCAGAGATTAGAGCTTCTTTTTCTGTTGTTTCTTGCTGTTAGATAAGAGTTGGTTGTTACAACACATACTAAAAGTTAGATTTGTGTACCTTACTTGTCAGAAAATGTGTTTAGATAATATTTTTTGTCTTCTGTATTGAATTTTAGCCAGTAAATTCACATATTAGGTCTTAATCTTTATATAGAGTTCATCCCATTGAACTCTTTCTGGTTTTGTCAGTCAGTATGAAACTGAAAGCTTCTCTGCTTTTATCTGGGGCCTCAGTCTCCTTTGATCTCGAATATGTTTTAGTCATAATAAGCTGCCTGTCAAGCACTGTAGATATGCTGGCTCTGACTCATGATTTATGTCCCCAACAGCTAAGACAAATTATGGACCAGTGCTCGGAAAGTTGATGTTAGGACGTATGATTGCCCCCGAGGGTTCCTAGGGAAAGCTATGGAGGGTCGCCAACAACTTGATGCTGCGATTGTAGTAGTAGTTTGGATTCATTAAACTATTCTAACTCCAATTAATCTAACTATTCTAAAACCTATTAGTTATTCATACCTGTGTGAACCATTACTCATGTGAACACACCCCAAGATAAGAATGTTAGGTGCACCACTGCGTGGTTTTTACACGTTTAAATGACTAAACATTGGACTATGTTGCCTTTTGTTTTTAAGACATTAAGCTGTAAAAAAAAAAAAATCACTTCACATTGTTCTGCAGGAGAATCAAACTCGCAGGCCTTGTAAGAGTTGTAAAGAGCATGTTCAAGAATATATTATCAGTGTTTGTCCAGGTCAAATTTAAAATGTCTTATTTCTTCATTTTTACAAATTCATTTCTTCAGCAGCATATTTGATGATAAATCCAAAAGTCAGTGTAATGTTTATATAGTATAATTACTGTGCATTTACTATTTCATTCCCCACTTAGTCTGTCTATCATAAAGCTAAACTTCTTTATCCAGGTGTCTACCTGTACAAAGCCCCTATTTTTCCGCAAAGGAAAAATCTGTGTATGAAATCAGAAACTTCACAAACTGTGTTGGACACACCTCTGCTTCATTCTCTAAAACCTATTGTTGTTTTGACCAAACAAAACCTACAAAACTTTATTTAAAATTTTGGTGGAGATCCCAAAGTTTCCAAAGATACTTTTGGAAAAGTTGTAGTCCAAGTACTGTTTTTTTTTTTTTTTGTTTTTGTTTTGCTTTTTAGATTTTAAAGGTACATACA